CAATCCCGTGCCTCTGGGAAGCTGAGGTGAGTGGATTGCCTGAGCCCGCGGGTTCGAGACTCGCCTGGGTAACTTGGTGGGACCTCATTTCTACAATAAATCAAAAAATTAGCCGGGCGTGGTAGCATGCGCCTGTAGTTCCAGCTAGTTGGAAGGCTGAGATAGAAGGATCGCCGGAGCCCAGCAGGTCGAGGCTGCGGTGGCCGGGAGCGGCCACTGCCCTCCAGTCTGGGCGACAGAGTGAGATTCCAACTCAAAAAAAAAAAGATGGCACTATTACAGACACGTCACCGAAGTCTACCTTCTGAAAAGGTAAGGCTACAGCTGTGACAGAAAAATATAAATAAGCTACACCTGCTATGAAAGGTCTACTGCTATTTCCATTTTGATTAGATGTAAGTCACTTCCTTCATAAAAATAGTATCTTACATATATGGTTCCCAAACTACTGTGCCAAGGTTCCCCGGGGTGCCACAGTCAATTCAGAGGGTGACCTGGGATATTTTTAAATTTTGAGGTAAACACAGCAATACTTGCCATCTGTCAGACATAGCACAAATGACTAGCTCAAGGTCATCCACTGCCATATTAGCTAGATCAGGCCACATTCCTTTGGATGATGCTTTATCTTTGGAAATCTGGGGATTTTTTTACAGTTGCTGTGATTAATAAGTAATCACCACATGACAATTATGGTGCGTGAGGAAATGATTCCAAGGTCTGAGGGGCCATTCAAGAGCCCAGAATATTAAAAAAGTAAATAAGAACAGTAGTCTTTCATTTTAAGTGCCTTACTTTTTCAAAAGGATACTAGGCTCTTAGGACAGAAATACTTGCTAAGGACCATCTGTATTCATTTCTCAAAGTTGTAGGCTACTTCATAAACTGTCTTTAAAAAGAGGCTGGGGACAGTGGCTCATGCCTATAATCCCAGCACTCTGGGAGGCGGAGGTAGGAGGGTCACTTGAGGCCATAGTGAGACCCTATCTTTAAAAAAAAAGTGGCAGTGTGTGTATATATGTTGGCCAGGCTTGATGGTATGGGCCTAGCTCCTGGGGAGGCTGAAGCTGCAGTGAGTTATGATTACAACACTGCACTCCAGTCTGCGCCACAGAGTGAGACTCCAGTTTAAAAATATGTATATAAATACACACACACACAAATATATAAGATATAAATACACGTCTTTAAAAAGAAAGCAGAATACTCAAGTGGCAGCAAGATGCCAAAGCCAGCTGAGATTGCAACAGAAAGCCGGTGGGGGAGGGGCTCGAGGGAGGGGCTCCCTCAAGGCCCCCTGTGGCTCAAGGTCCCCTGTGGCTGCCCTGCCCCCTCCCGGGAAAAAGGTTCTGAAACCACGTTACTTTTCTACTTTGATCTCCACGGCATGATGTCTGTCGACACTGGACACCTTCTCCTTCTTCACTTCGCACTCTTTTCTGTCGGACAACTTCTTCCCAGCAGGCTCGTTTTTGGCCTAGGGTACAATACCGGCAGAAATGATCCGTAGACCAGGCTTTCTCTTGCCAACTTCGTGTGCATTACGACAGAAGAGAACAACCTCACCTTCTCCACGGAGATCATCCTCCCGTGCAGCTCGGTCCTGTGGAGGTGGCTGATGCACTTGGTAGCCTCATCGGATGTTGACATGGTGACAAACCCGTAGCATCGAGCCCCAGGACTGCGGGCGTTGGTGACCACCTTGGCCCCAACAACCTGCATGAAAAGAGCACTTTGACTGTCATGCAAACAACCATACAGCTTGTTGAAAGTATTAGCAGTTACTGTTTAAAACAGTTAGAATCATTTCTACTATTTGTTCCTTTCCCACAGATCATTAGTTTTCCATAATTAATTATGAAACTGGTTCTAATTAATCCCGACCTATCCAAATATAATTTTTTTTGAGACAGAGTTTTGCACTGTGGCCTAGGCTGGAGTGCAGCAGTGCAGTGATAGCTCACTGCAGCCTCAGACTGCTGGGCTCAAGAAATTCTCCCACCTCAGCCTCCTGAGTAGCTGGGACTACAGGCTCTGCTAACCACATCCAGCTAATTAAAAAAAAAATCTGGGGGATGGGAGGGGGAATTTTTTTTTTTGATAGACACAGGCTCTCACTACAATGCCCAGGCTGATAAAATTGCTTCTGACACAAGAACAGTCACCATAATGAAGTACAACTTCACTACTCACAATGAATAATTAATCAAAAGTCCTTTCCATTCGCATAATTTCTCCACCCCCATCGTACCCCAAGACAGCGAGGGGCCGTCTACTCGGAAACGCACCCCATGTGTGCTAAGGATGCAAAGCACTCTGACAAGGATGTGGACGTCAGGCTTGTGAAAGGATGCCCACTTCTGGCCAAGACAGGAAAACCAAGCACTGCCCTCCCGCCTGAAGCAGCGGAACACCAGAGGAGATGGAGACATCAAGGGTTCTCAGACACTGGTCATCAGGATCCCCGAGAGCCCCATGGCTGCCCCTGTCCCCCGCCTGGAGCTCCCAGGCCATGGCAAGGAGGGACTGAGGCTGGGGCTATCCCTGACTTGAAGAGACAGAGCTGAGACTCTGAGACCACAGCAGAGAGAAACCACAAAATTGAGGACCGAGAGGAGGGAACTGCAGAGGGCAGGCTAGATCTGCACGCATCCCAGGAAACTGAGGCCAGGAGAGAACCATCCAAAGGAGCAGAGGGAACAGCCCCAGGCTCGGGTTGTGAATGGTCTGGAACAGCTGTCATTCACAGGGCATCAGACAGAGCTCTCTCAGAAGGCGCTGCCCCACTCGCAGGATAAAATCAGCCCCAACTACAGGCTGCTCTGGCCCTGACTTACCAAGTGTAAAGTGAGCCTCAGAAAGATCAAACTGTGTCCAAGTACCTTAGCTGCATCCAGAAAAAACCTTGAGTAAAGACATACAAGAATAACTAGTACCTACAAGGTCAAATCCCCAACATCTGACATCCAACAAAAAATTATGGCCAGGTGTGGTGGCTCACACCTGTAATCCCAGCACTTTGGGAAGCTGAGGCAAGAAAACTGCTTGAGCCCAGGAGTTCGAGACCAGCCTGGGCAACACAGCGAGATCTCACCTCTACCAAAAAAATAAAAAACCTAGGGGTGGTGGAGTGCACCTATAGTCTCAGTTACTTGGGAGGCTAAAGCAGGAGGACTACCTGAGCCCAAGACATCGAGGTGGCAGTGAGCTATGACCATGCCGTTGCACTGCAGCCTGGGCAACAGGGTGAGACTCTGACTCAAAAAAAAATTATACGAGGCACTAAAAGGAGGAAAACAGGACCCATAAGGAAGGAAAAAAACGCAGTCAATAAAAAAGACCTGGAGATGACACAGATAACAAAACCAATAAACAAGGATGTTAAAAACACCAATGTTAATTCTACTCCGCATGTTCAAGAAGGTGGAAGAATGACTGAGCACGTCAGGTCTACCTACAACTCTATACCCCGTGAAAATGTCTTTCAAAATGAAGATTTGCCGGGCTCGGTGGCTCAGCCTGTAATCCCGTGCCTTTGGGAGGCTGAGGTGAGTGGACTGCCTGAGCCCGCAGGTTCGAGACCCGCCTGGGCAACTTGATGAGAGCTCATGTCTACAATAAATCAAAAACTTAGCCAGGTGTGGTAGCGCGCGCCTGTAGTTCTGGCGACTCGGAAGGCTGAGGCGGAAGGATCGCCGGAGCCCGGCAGGTCGAGGCTGCGGTGGCTGGGAGCAGCCCCTGCACTCCAGTCTGGGCGACAGAGTGAGACTCCAACTCAAAAAAAAAAAGAAGACTTTCAGATACATAAAAGAAATACAAGCCCATCACCAACAATCCTGCGCCACAGGGAAGTCTCAGTCCTGTAGGAGGAAGATCATCTCCAGTGCAACTTGGAGAGCACCCGACCTGGTAACTATGGCTCTTTCAGCCTTCCAAGTAGCCGGAACAACAGGCGCACGTTACTGCACCTGGCTAATTTTTAATTATTTATTGTAGAGACGAGGCCTTGCCAAGTTGCCTGGGCTGGTCTCGAACCTGTGAGCTCAGGCAATCCACTCGCCTCAGCCTCCCAAAGTGCTGGGATGACAGGCTGAGCCACCGAACCCGGCCTAACCATGGCTCTTTCGGGTCATTTATAAGTCTCTTTAAAAAGGTGCCTGTTGAAAGCAAAAAGCCAAACCACAAGAGAACAAAGCCAATTCTGTATCAGGTGACCTGTCAAACAGAAAGAAAATGTATGACAATAGTATGACAGAGGCTGGGGGGATGGAGTGTCCCCTTGCAGAGTTCCCACACCACACTCAGTCAGTGTAATGTTACTTGGAGACACTGAAAATTGAAAGGACGCTTTAATTCATAAAAAGCAACCACCCAAAGCCAAGAGTTACAGCTAGTGAGCCACAAACTGCAAAAGAGACTTGATCCACACGGTGATGTAAGCAGGACTCAAGGAACAAACAGAACAAATAGAAAACAGAGCAAGACAGCGGATTTAAAGCTGGCCCTTCGAATGCTGGAAGCCCGGGGGAGTGGAGGGAATGGGGAAAGCGTGGAAAGCACAGGGTCCTTGTCTCTGACCCAGTGGGTCACCTGAACAAACCACTTCCTCTTCATCTATGAAATGACGAGGGGGAGCCATGCAATCTGGGTCCCCATCACTCTGACATCCTGTGCGTCTGACCCCAGGGACGGAGGGGTTGCAGCCCGCCTTGGACCTATGCGGGACAAAGGTGCCAGTGGAGAGGGTGCAGTTGCGATGCCCGTGTTGGAGTGAAGCTCTGCACTCTCCCATCACAAGGTCAGTAAGCGGAGCCAATCACGCAGTCATTCCACCTTCCATGGCATCCATCTTCCTTACAGAGCGTAGCTTCTGATGACAGGTGAGACCCACATGAGAGCAGGCACCACAGTAAGCTTGCATGTTCCCGTCTCTCGGCCATGTCTTCTACCTGGAGCTCCCAGGCAGTCTTAAATGACGTCCCCCACCCCAAAAAAAGCAAAAACAAGCCGGGCTCGGTGGCTCAGCCTGTAATCCCACGCATTTGGGAGGCTGAGGTGAGTGGATTGCCTGAGCCTACAGGTTCGAGACCCGCCTGGGCAACTTGGCGAGACCTCATCTCTGCAATAAATCAAAAATCAGCTGGGCTTGGTAGCACGCGCCTATAATTCTGGCTACTCGGAAGGCTGAGGCGGAAGGATTGCTGGAGCCCAGTGGGATGAGGCTGCGGTGGCCGGGAGCGGCCACTGCACTCTAGTCTGGGTGACGGAGTGAGACTCCAACTCAAAAAAAAATAGCAAAAATAGCTGGGCTCAGTGGCTCAGCCTGTAATCCCGTACCTTGGGAGGCTGAGGTGAGTGGATTGCCTGAGCCTGCAGGTTCAAGAACCACCCAGGCAACTTGACAAGACCTCATCTCTACAATAAATCAAAAAATCAGCCGGGTGTGGTAGCATGTGCCTGTAATTCCGGCTACTCAGAAGGGTGAAGCGGAAGGATCACCGGAGCCCAGCGGGTCAAGGCTACGGTGGCCGGGACCGGCCATTGCACTCCAGTCTAGGCGACAGATTGAGACTCCAACTCAAAAAACAATAACAAAAAAGGAATGACTTCCCCCACTTGCCAAGACTTGTCCCACCCCCCCAGGTCTTCCCACGTCCTCCTGCTTTGGTCCAGAGCTGAGCCTGACAGCAAGGCCAGCCCTCATCACTCACACCTTGGCTGACATGTCATGTACTCAGAAAGGTTCACTGCAGCCACCTTCCAAATCCAAATGAGGGTTCCCTACCACACCCTGATGGCAGCTGTCACTTTTCTTAGTGTGCTTATCATAACATGTATCATGTTTATCTTTCAAATGTTGTATTTTTCTACCAGACTAAACGATCAACAACAATAACCATGTATCTGTCTGCTTTTGCTTTTTCATCAGTGCCTGCATGAAGGAGGAAATCAACAAAATAATGAGTTTATTTCTGGCTAGAATTGTTTTCCAGGACTTTCTTAAAGACACAGAAAAATTCAACATAATGAAATTTCTTCAGGGTCCTGTCTGCTTAAGTCACTGAAACATTAACCAAGACCTGACTGGGTGACACCGACCTGGACAAAGGAATGACTTCTGCACCAGGACGAGGCCACTTTAGCCAGGCCCCAAGGTTTTGCCTGGGATCCCTGCACCTTCTAGATGCTAAGCGGGACCAGCCTTTCTCCTGTGGGGGCTGCTTCCCATAGGCACCCAGAAGACCAGGGCAGTCCTAGTGGCTTGTATCATAAGAATGTTTCATTAGTTAATTACAAAGCAACAGAATCATGGAATTGTCTTTCAAGTTCCTCTGGAAGGCTTCCAACTTGTATTATTTTTCTCCTGCCCACGAGCAGCAGATTAAAGATTTATTTTTAAACCATGATCATATTCTAGTTATCAAACTACATACTTAAAATGCTAGAAGATCTAAAAGTTAATGGTTTACTCTTTGGTGAAAAAGCTGCCAGCTTTAAGTTCTATATAGGACAAAAGACGATCAGTTTCTTTAAGACAAACTAGAAAGAACCACAAGAACACATAGATGTCAGTTACCCATACACATTTTCTGAGCAGTGGCATGTGACTGACCATCTGCCCTGCCTAGTATCCTGGTTCCTCTAAACCAGGAAACAAAGCACACCACACAAAACTGAGTGGGGTTTTTCCTCCCTTCGGTTTTTCTTTCTTTTTGTTAGAGATGGGGTCTCACTATATTGCCCAGGCTAGTCTCAAGCAATCCTCCCACCTCAGCCTCCCAAAATGCTGGGATTACAGGTATAAGCCACTTTAAAAAACAAAAACAAAAAACATAAATAGAACCAATTTTAACAATAATAAGAAATAACTTCTTGTGCTCCTTTTTCAAGCCCACACTGAAGCTGGGGCAAGACGCAGGCGTCACATACCTTTCCATACTTGCTGAAGAGGTTCTTCAGATCCGTGGCTCGTGTGGTGGAGGACAGTCCGCTGACCCACAGGTTTCTCCCGGAACTGCTGCTGACTCGTCCTGCGGGAGGGAGATGGTCACACTTCACCTCGAGGCGTCAAAGGAAGCATGGCCATTCTTAAGATGGCGGCCCTCCTTTAAAATCACAACTACACCCAGTTCGCCTGTTGACTCACACACACACACACACACAGAGTGCCAACACCCAGGACAGAAGATTAACTATGGCCAGCAAAACCTGAGTTTCTCCGCTTAAGGAATCATCCTTCCTGCCCTCTTCAGTAGTGAGCTGAATGTCTCTTGACGGTCAGTTCCCAACCAAGACAGCAGTCTCTCAAATTCCCACTACACTGTCATTCAGTGGACAAAACTACTGCCTACTTGTTAGTACTTTTCACTATCCCATAAACAACCACACAGAAACACAGAACACAGACATTCACACGCTTTTAAAACTACTCGCTCAAGAACTGGTTACGTGGTTTATTCCAGGAAAACTGCAACACAACAATTAAATGACTGGATCCAAAGTGTGGATAACCGCAGGCCCCTCCTCCCAAAATAAGGCATCCGTACATGGCTCCTGCCACGTAAGTTAAATCATACCTTTTTCATCTTTAATGATTGGCTTTATATCTTTTTCTTCCTTAAAAGAGCTAGAGACAAAAGTTAGTGTTACTCATAAGGGAAAAAAATGAAAAAGAACACAATTAAAAATTACGTGCTAAAACTGAATACCTACCAGAAAATTAATCTGAAATAAAATTTTAAGACACCTTTGCAAGCTTATATTGGAAAATCTGACCCCAAAAATACAATGTCAGATTCGTAAACGTCAATTCGATTTAGCGGAAGATAACAATTAACCATTAAAGAACACAACCGAGTAGGTTGAGGAAAAAAAGAAATGGAATCACCCATTAAAAATACACAAAGAGAAATAAAACAATCTTTAGAAGCGAAACTACAATTTCATCAGTCTGGCTGGCCAATTGCAGAAAAAACAGCTTATGTGTGTCATTAAACGACCAATGGAAAGGAGATAGCGTCTGGTCTAAAACTGAGAAAAAACAAACCTCATTTTCTGATCAGCGCCCTCACTGGCTGAGGACTCTTTAGGAGCCGGAGGGACTTCATTACAAGCTTCAAAAGCAAACTTCTTCCCGTCTTCCTTGCTATCTCTGGCTTCGGGGCTTGGGGCTTCCGTGGGCGCTTCCGCGACCTCCTCGCTAGAGGCCTCCGCGTTCTCGGAGGCCGCGCTACTCTGCTCAACTGCCGGCTCTGGCCCTACAGGCTCACAGTCCGTCCTGCCGCCATCGCCCGGCTGCTCCACGGGCTCCCTTTTCACTACCGCTAACAGGCTGTCTGCCTCGCCCGCCTGAGCGTGTGTTGACTCGCTGGCCAAATCTAAGTCACCCTCCTCCGGATGGGCGCTGTCAAAAAGGTCCTCTTCCTCCGCAAGCTTTCTGTCTGGCCCCACGCTACTTGTATCCTGTGCAAATGGCTGCTCCAGCTCGGAACCTTCTTCTTTTCCTGGCTCAGATTTACAAGTTTCCCCCAAAATGTCGAGTATTTTCTCATTTTCTACGGATTTAACAGGAATAGAATGGCACAAGGTTTAATTACCAGGGAAATAAAGCAATCACAAATGTGGAACGGGCACGGCTGCCACACTAACACGAAGAGAACTGCTAGCTACACAGAGATTGGAAAACCCGCGGGTACACAAGGTTACACTGGTTACGCTACCTGCGCTGCGACCTCTAGCAAGCCTCTAGCTACACGGGAGAGAAA